GGGGGAGGGGAGGGTGAGGGAAGGAATGAGAAACAGTCTTTAGTATTAGAAATTCCTTTGAGCACGCATGGGGAAAGTTGTTGATGGCTTGGCCTTGGGCGACCTAGTGGGTAAATGTTCATAACACGAAAATTTAAGGGGGGAGGGGAGGGTGAGGGAAGGAATGAGAAACAGTCTTTAGTATTAGAAATTCCTTNACCTAGTGGGTAAATGTTCATAACACGAAAATTTAAGGGGGGAGGGGAGGGTGAGGGAAGGAATGAGAAACAGTCTTTAGTATTAGAAATTCCTTGAAGCACACATGGGGAAAGTTGTTGATGGCTTGGCCTTGGGCGACCTAGTGGGTAAATGTTCATAACACGAAAATTTAAGGGGTGAGGGAAGGAATGGGAAACAGTCTTTAGTATTAGAAATTCCTTGGAGCACGCATGGGGAAAGTTGTTGATGGCTTGGCCTTGGGCGTATGGGCGACCTCAGTGGGTGAATATTCCACGAAAATTTAAGAAGGGAGGGGAGGCTGAGGGAAGGAATGCGGAGGGAGGGATAAGACATCAAGGGGAGGGGAGAAAAAAATGGGAAGATGATTGACGGAGACGGAAACTGGATGGGAGATGGAAGAGAATAAAGTGGGTGAGAACAGAAAAGAAAATTAATGAGAAGAATGGAAGAACTGAATGGAATTGTATGAGATTGGAAAAAATGGAGGGAGGAGAAGAGAAGAGAAATAAAGGATTCGGAAGCGGGATACAATAAATGACCGCAAGACTTGTCCAAGTAGAAAATAAAATATCATGTGCCAGACCTTAAGAGATCTGTATTAAGAGCTATTTTCCTTTCTTTCTTCGCAGGTTATTCGGCAATAGAGGATTCTGTTCAGTTTGTTGTAAAGCGATCCCAGCCTTCGAGATGGTCATGCGTGCACGTGACAACGTTTATCATCTCGAGTGCTTCTCGTGTCAGCGATGTAACCAAAGATTCTGTGTCGGCGACAAATTTTACCTTCTAAACAACAGAATACTCTGCGTGGATGATTACGAAGAAATGATGACATATAAACACGCTGAACAGAACAGATATATCATGTAGATGGCTGCTATGGTAACAGAGACAGCTATGATCGCGCGCTACCTTAACGTTTTGCAGAGACAGACGCGTTTGCCAAGGAAACGAACAATATGGTAGCGCGCGCAAAATTGATTTTTCTTGCCATGATACATGCATTATACAAACAAACATTCATGATCTTGGATACTATGTTTCCATGGAAACGATGCTTTTTGTTACCATGACAACAGTAAACTCCATCGTATATTGTTGCTATAGAAACAAAAAAATGCACCATTTTTGACCTAAAAGGGGAACAAGCACGAAGATGTCGAAAACACGAAAGTATCAAGGAGACGTACTAAAAGCCATGGAAATAAATCAGTGTGGAAACGATTCCCATGAATAAGATTTACTGTTAAAATCCTTCATCACCATGACAACAGGCCAAGTGGCCATGGCAACGTGTTTAGGCGCTGCGCATATTTATCAACGCGTGTTTGTACAGATAAATATATATTTTTTTACTTTTAGAGAAATTTATTTTTTTTGCTAAATAAAGACACAGCAAAAAAGTAACGGTGATGTTTGGAAGTAATCCCTGTTAGTTAGTTATAGTTTTGCGAGCTAGTGTTTCGGAGCGTAAAAAAACAGAGCTACATTTAGCGAAAAGATTGCATCATACTAGTGTGCGCCCAGCTGTCTTCAAATCAAACGTTAAATTCAGCCGATTTCTAACTTTTTCCCATGTTTTCACGCTTGCATGGAAAATGTTTGCAAACGCAAACCATAGCTGATCTAGCAGATTTTATTTTTTCATTTTCGTTTAAAAAAATTTTAGGGCCATACCTCCAGACGCAGTGCTGAAGCGCAGTATGGCAGCGCGAAGCATTTACGGCTATGCCGGAGATTTCGACCCCGTCACCGCTATCCCTGGATTTACAGACTGATCAGGAAGCTCGGCCGAAGCCTAAGGGAGAGGTTAGTCGGCCCCTAGGCCGTAGATGATTAACCCCTTGCTATGACCAGCATACCCGTTAAGGYAGTTTTGTCGCTGATGCCTTAACATCCACAGGCGCTCTTTTCCATGTGGGATGCGTCTTGGACTACTAACGTGTCGTATGTATACGCTCATGCGCAAACTCAAGGCAAAAATCATTATTGAACTTTGCACAATCAGGAATGTTATTACATTTTTTATTCGATACAAAAAGTTTAAACTAAGAATTCGGTTTTCAAACTAAAAATCAACATTAGTAAAGAAATAACGATAACATTAAGAGTTTATTTAACGAGGGTACACATATTACTGGTAGCCGTCATACATTATGACCCTCCTAAAGAGAAAGCCTGGTTCCAAGTATCCCCAGTCTCTCTCAAGTACAAATCACATACAAAAATAAGTTTTCTGGAAAAGAAGTCTAAATAAAGGGATGAAAATTGAATAAATTTGCCTCAAGGAGAATATCAGTTGGACTAAATAATCTTCTGCTGTGAAGTACAATAAGGTAAGGTTATTATAGTGATGATTTTATTGAGTAGAGTGAAGGCATTTAACCCGTGAAATAAAAAATATTAGTCAAMGTGTRATAGTCAAATAGACACTAGAAAACAATGGAATTAAGGTCTACGAAAGCGTATTATTCTTGTATCTATTGCACGGGTTTAATGACTTCACTCTAACCCGTGAAATAAGAAAATACTAGTCAACGTGTAATAGTCAAATGTACACAAAAGAAAACGATGGAATTAGGGTCTACTAAAGTGTATTCAGTTGCGGATCCAGGATTTTTCAAAGGGGGGTTCCGTTTCTTAAACTGTGTATAATTCTCTTTTGTTTAGTCGATGTCTAACAAAAATTGGCTCTAATCACCTAATTTACTATCTAGTAACGGAACTTAATGGTAAATTAAACATTATAACAGCAAATATTTATCATTTCGTGTTCAACATTATCCTYGTGGATACTTTTAAGCAAAATTTATGTAAGAAATATTTCTATTACCTAAAAGATCCAACCTTCGAGGGGGGTTCCGTGGAACCCTTCGAACCCCCCCCTGGATCCGCCACTGGTATTAGTCTAATATCTATTTCAGGGGTTTGGTGACTTCACTCTATCTTGTTATGGGCATAAAATAACTGTTCTATGAGAAGTAACAAAAAGTAAGGTGTTTTTTTGTCTTCAAACTCGTTCCTTTTGGTTGAAATTTTGCAAACTTTCATGCTCGCCCAAGGCTGTCTTCTCAAGTCAGTCCTCAATCAAGTATTACCAGAGGGAGCCCACTTTAGATAAGTTGACTGCAGAGCAGAAACTAAAGAAATTATGTTCATTCATTTTCAGTAGTGTCCCATGTGTGAGAATTTATAAGAAGTCTATTCCAACTTGTTAGGGTCGTGCAGTATCTTATTCACTCATAAGAATTTTAGTTCTCTGCTATACTCCCCTCGACCTGTGGCTGCTCTCTTTATTTTGTTATTCCCCTCTTCCTTTCCTTGTGATGTAGTGGTTCTTTAGAGAACTGCACCAGGTCTGCTCCCATAACTTATATATGAGTAAAGTGGGACCAGTGAAAATGGTATACTGTTATAGCCTTCTCCTCATCCTCAAAGGCGTCTTCTGGCTTTGATAAGCAGGATGCAACCTGGACTGGCTTGGGCGCAAAAAACATAAGATAGGCTGTACAAAAGCCTTTGTACCCAAGCTAAACCATGATGCAATTCTTCACTAGAACTGAGCCATAAAACACAAACAGGCCTTTTTTAAAATTTGATAATCAAAATTGATGCATTGTGGTCTAGCTTGAGTAAAAACAATGAATATAAGATATGGCAAATAAAAAATGCTTGTATCCAAGCTAGACTACAATTCACCATAATCACTATCTCCCAAAAAGCCATGGAAAGCTAATCATTTATAACTTTAAAACTGGGCTCCCTCTAGTAATATGTCCTTGCTTCTTGAAGCATCTAGGTATCTATCTATACCCTCCCCAAAAGGAACAAAGGCATCAAAGACTTATATTTTCTAATAGTTGTAGTCTAGTCCAAGCAGAGCACTGCCGCTCCTGACCCTGGCTCAGTAGCAAACAGCGCTTCCTCGACTCGCTCCTGGTGGCCTGGTTTTGAGTAATAAGCCTTCGTGACTTTGGATATAAAATCATCTAGTGCATCTGTGCGAACCATGGAGACTGTGCAACCGCCCCATCCTGCTCCTGTTAGCCTGGAACCCAGTGCTCCTGCTTCCCTGTTGAGACAAAAACAGAAGGATAATCCTCTTAGAAGGAGAGAGTTTTCAAGCGATGTCAAAGACAGCAACTTTAACTGCAACAGAATTGTGAATTAGGAGATGGGCTATGCGATACATAGCAAAGTTGCATCTCATTGGCTGCAAGTACCTATCAAGTAAGTTGCCAGGAACTTTTAACTTGTTCTCCGTTTTTCATCACTACTGTTCTTGGGCAATGTGTTAGGCAACCCAGGTTGGCACGGCACGGTGCAATGGTCTTCTTTGCCATAACTTACCTGCAAGCAGCCACAAGCTCATTGAGTTCATCGCAGCTACACTCGTACAAGTCCCTACAACTGTCAAAGCTTTCGTCCATCAATTTCCCTAGGGCCTACAGAAAAAAGGATACATTCTTATTACTATTTGTTCATGCAATCCCTTTTCAGGTACATTCTTATTCCTAGGCCAAACAAAAAATATAAGTGTGTTTCCTGTTGCATGAGAAAAATAATTGGAATCGGTAGGTCGGATTATTTTACTGATACAACAGTGGAAATGAGCTTATTGGGAACCCTGTGGTGCATTTGGGAATGGAAAAATATTAGGGTCGGCAAAAATTGGCAAGAAAATTAGGGTCGATTGTGCAACAGGAAACACTTATTTTTTTTGTTTGGCCCTATCTGTTCATCCAATCCCTTTCAGGTACATTTTATCCCCATACATTATTCTATTTAATTCAGGTCAACCACTTGCCTTCATAATATCGGGTGGATTTTCTTCGCATATTTGCTTAAACTTCAGTACCCTATCAGCTTCGGCATACACATGCTTGGCTCGGTCATGAAGCTTGAGACTCTTCACACCTACAGTGGACTTACTCAGGCAGTTCTCTATCAGTTCTTCTTCCTGGGAAAATAAAACAAATAATTAATGGATGGATGGGAATGGCTGAATGGATGGGGTCCAGAAATGAATGAAATGGATTGATGAATAAGAATGGATGGATTGGTGGATGGATGGAGGGATGGATGTGTAGATGGATGGATGGATGTGTGGATGGATGGATGGATGTGTGGATGGATGGATGGATGTGTTGATGGATGGATGGATGGTTGGATGGATGGATTGATGGGCATGATGAATGAATTCGATTGTACTAAACTTACCGTGATATCAAAGAATTTGCACAATTCATCTTTGGTGTATGGCTCCTTCTTAAGCTCCGATTCAACCAAGTGAACCCTGTAGGAACAGAAAGCATTTAATGGATGAATGGAAAAATGGATAGATGAACCATGTGAAAAGCATGAGAAAAAATGGGCGAAAAAGGAAGGAAAAGTATTTCACTTACATGTCCTCAAGCTTGAGGTTCAATTCATCTTGTACTTCACGCAAGAGGCGGATCTTTCTCCACTCTAGGCCTTTTACTTTAGCCAAATACTATTATATATAAAGATGAAATTAAACTTAACACTGTTATTATTATTATTATTATCAATTTTCATCATTATTATTATAAATATTTATTATTACTATTATTATTTATTATCATTATTATTATCAATATTTATTATTATTATTATTATTTATTATTATTAATATTTATTATGATTATTATGGTTATTATGATTATGATTATTATGATTATTACACTAAGAATTAAAGACAAAACAATTGACATCTTACGAGAATCGATTTAGAAGGTAGAGATTGGCTGTGTGCTCTAAACTAGTGTTGTTTGTATCTCCAAAACTAAGAGTCGATTATATCGCTGTAATGAATGTTCACTCTGTTTGCATGTATGCTAAACAATGCATTTCTGTATAGAAATAGTCACTAAAGACATTCAGAATCAATATCTATACGGGTCTCTGAATGTTGTGGTGGGGGTTATCAACAGTTCTCTGAGGGGTGGGGTGGGGGTTATCAACAGTTCTCTGAGGGGTGGGGTGG